TTATATATATATTTTGAGTTGGAGTCTCACTCTGTCGCCCAGACTGGAGTGCAGTGGCCGCTCCCGGCCACCGCAGCCTCGACCCTCTGGGCTCCAGCGATCCTTCTGCCTCAGCCTTCCAGTAGCTGAAACTACAGGCGCGCACTACCACACCTGGCTAATTTTTTGATTTATTGTAGAGATGAGGTCTCACCAAGTTGCCCAGGCGGGTCTCGAACCCACGGGCTTAGGCAATCCACTCACCTCAGCCTCCCAAGTATATATTTTGATATATATCTACAACAACGAACTACAAAGAAATCAACTTATAATTTTCTTATAATTATAAAATATAATTTTGTTTTGTAGTGTTTAATCAAAGTGACCATATGTATAATAAATTTTTGTAATATTGATCTTGCTACAGAGAGATTTACATAAATATAAAATGACTTTTTTCTCATTTTAAAAACCAAAATATTCACTTTAAACCTGGGAACAGATAAATAAAAATGTGCAATTAAGATTACAAAATAAATTCAATTGGAGTATCGAAACTCCTTAAGTAGCCTGTACTGTCGTGGCAAGTGTTTGTGTAAAAAATCATTTGGCTAAAGAATGAAAGGCAGATACAGAATATCTTTGTATAAATGTTGTCAGTAGTAAGTAAAGATAATATTCTCTAATAATAATAAAAACCAATGAATAAATATAATTATATTAAAATATATTTTTTCAAATATAAATTTGAGAAGTTCTATGTTGTAAAAACAAGATGCAGTTGTCACCAAAAAACTCTCTAATTTGAAAATGGAGTTGCAGTTTATGGGTTTGCAGAGCTCAATTAATTGAAGAAATACTCAGTAACATTTTCCTCCCAATTTGAGTAACTTTTGTTGAAACAGCAATTTAGTCATTTAGAGAAAACTGACAATTTCCTATCACAAAATTAACTGACTGAGCCACTCAGAAACATAAAAAGCTGACTTGTTAATATATATTATGATTATAATTATTTTATTGGTTCTTCCAAAATATAATTCAGACTGAATTAGTGTAATCATGCCCAAGTGCATAAGACGTTTCTCACTTTATAAGAATAAGTTAAACACATTTTAAAAATGAAAATAATTTATTAAAATATTCAAACTTTCAATTACCTAGCAAAAGACCTGGGTGACCCCCATCGTTCTCTGTAATTGCCTAAGAAAATGAGAAAGAATAATCCAAGAATGGATTGTGTAAAGCCTGTACATATTAGAGTCATGTTACTAGTATGATGCCCAAGTGTTTATTTTTACACAAGTCAAATACATCCAGGAATAATATATTTATCATGCATGCTATTAAAAATGGGCATATTAAATCATTTGGTTATGTGAGACTGGTTATCTTATTGCCAAAATAAGTGTATGTAAGCATTCTCACTGTGCATTCCTTACTTCTTATTCCTCCCAAAATGTCCTTAATGAACTTTGCTCATCCTGGAGTGGTGGTTCTCAAACTTTGGTATGCAGCAGAATCAGATTGCTGGCCCTACACCCAGAGTTTTTGATTCAGTAGGTCTTGAGTGGGGCTCAATATTTGCATATTTTACAAGTTCTCAGGTGATGCTTGTGCTGTTGGTTCAGGGGCCATACTTTGAGAACCACTAACCTAGAAAATTGCATTATATATTTAGATGAGGAGGCATGACATATCAGAAACAGATGGTGATGCTTATACAATCCTTTGGTTTCATTTATTTCAAATAGGACAGCTATTTCTTTCAAATTCCCTGTGCTCATGGGACCTGAGGGAAAATAAGGCGCTCTGTTCAAATTATTCAGGGCCAAATATGTTTGGGTATGCCGATTATGTCATCTGAAATATTTTTCAATTATAAATCAACTATTGACAAGTGACCACACTTTGCTGATCCTTGACCACCTCTGAACTAATACAGAGGCAAAGTCTTTATGTGGGTCAATAGATTCAATTGAGAGTTGGCTTTATACACCATTCAGTAGCTTTGTTTTGATGATAGAGTAAAGTTCATTTTTGTCATCAGCCTCAAACATAACATTTATAGCACAGCTTCAATCAATGGCATTTTTCTCTGTAAGACTAAGGATCAAAATTTTATCTGAATCTAGTTAACTCATCATTGTATGAATATAAATAATTTCTATGGGTTTTTGGGGCATCAAGCTAACATATTTAGTCAGACAGGGTGTTGTTTCTTTTTTCCATTTGGGAATTTGTGACTTGTTTCTGAAGATTTCAGAAGATAATAATTTATACATTATAAATTATTATATATTAATATTAATAATATATAATGGCTATGATAATATAATAAATATACACACATATATAATTTTTTTCTGAATAGCTTTCTTAATTCTTCTCTTTACTAGGGTAGACATTTTCCAGATTCAAATCAAATAAACACAGGTAAGCATTGACTTTTTGCCTACTGAATGACTCTCTATTAATTCTTACCTTTTAATTAGTGAAAAAAAAGAGATAGAAGCCAAAGTAATTTAAGTCAAAATGGAAATGTATTTTAGAGTTCCATGAAACCCAGGAATAAGATTATAGTTAGGTATCTGGAACAGCTGAATCAAGACTCGAATCCAACTTTATCCAGGCATCTTGTTGTGGGGTGCTTCATTTTTCTCCTTTGTTGCAAGCCAGATGTCTTTGCTCTCCAGTTTACATGATAAAACTGTTAACAGCTCCTAAGTTTATATTTTACAGTTTCTTTCTCAGTGACAGTTACAGTCTCTTTCTCAGTGACAGACTGACAGTTCTGACAATCACCTAAGTTTATATTTTATAGCCTCTTTCTTAGTGACAGATTCTAAAATATCCAGAGAAGTCCTTCTATGGCCTTGTTTGGGCCAGATGCCCATGTGTGAACTAAACAACCAGGCAAACAGGCTGGGTCACTTTCATAAACACAGCATTCCTGCAGTGAAAATTGGGAGTCATCTCCTTGTTGAAGGAGAGATTTGAGCAGACAAAAATCTTAAGCCCGTTCCATAGAAGATGGATTCATAATTTTGGTATATTTATGCATTATCAATTATACTACTTGTATAGGCCTTTATGTTTTTCATATTTGTGACTACAGAGTATAACTGAAATTAAAAATCTAGGAGTCATATAATCTAGATATTAGTTCTACCTCTGACACTTCAGCATGACACAGATGAACTATTTAATCTCTGTGGGGTCAAATTTTTCAACTGTTAAAGGAGAAAATAATATGTGCTCTAAGTCAAATGAATTTAAACACAACTCCTGTGTGCCACTCTCCTGGGTCTTGGAAATAATTTGACTAAAATCTTACTTTCAAGCTTCATGAAGTTATTATGAAGGTGAGAAGAAACAATGCAGTGTTTAGCATTCTGTACAAATATATAAAGTTTTTATTTTTACAAGTTTTGAACATTTTGAGGTTTCTATTTATTATGAATGTGATGGTATTAATGTATTATGTGTCTGTGATATTAATCACCTTTATTGAAAAGACAGAGCCCAAAATGGAGTTTCTCTGGTCACCAACCTTGAACAGACCCAGTCTTGTACTTAGGTCAATGTGGCATACACAGCGATAATCATTAACTAGAAGAACAACCAGTTTTCTGGTCCCGGCATGGGCTTCATTCTACTGGCTCACAAGATGCTAAGGTTAACATCCCTCCAGAAGGGCTGGGCTGGGTCTATGGCTGCTTTCAGGCTGCAACAGCAGAGTTGAATAGTTATGACAGAGACCCTCCGGAATACAAACCAAATATTTGCTATCTGGTACTTTACAGAAAAAGCTTGGCAACCCCTGGTAGAGTTACAAACACAATAGACTAGAATGATAGAGGATCTCAGCGTGGATGCTCCTGCCAAGTGACTCCTGGCATGAATAAGGTCATGAGTAATCTGTGCTTACTTCTCCAGTATAACCCTTTGAGGAATTCTCCACTTATGCATTTCTTTGTCTTTTTATTTTGGTTGTATAACTGCCA